AGCTTTATGGAATTTATTTCATAATATCACTTGGCTTAACTTCAACAATGATCCTACAATAAACTCCTTGAAAGGGTATTGGAAATTAAGAATATTTTTACAGGCAGATAAGTTTTATATACCCTATTTTCCTCCCCCTCTGAGATCTCCAGTGCCCCGTATTGCTTTCTATAGAATATCTATAGAGGCATGTTGAGTTGAGGCTGATGCTGATGCTGTCGCCCGGCGACATTGCGGAACTGTAGCCGACATTCAGTCTTTGGGTCTTCGGTCGTGGGTCTTTTTTTTTTTTTCGTACCCCCAATCATCCCCCCGATTGCTCCGTCTGTCTGGGCCGTAGAGGTCCGATTGCTTTCGTTGGGTTCTTCAGTCCAGTTTTTTTGCCAGATCTCTTGGAGGCTGCTGATGTTGCTGCTGCCTCACATTCGCACCCGCAGCCTCAGTCGTTCACCCGCCGCCCCAGTCCGGCCAATCCTTTTTTCTTCGGATACTTTTTTTCCTCTTGGCTTGGCTTAGCTCGGGTTGGGGGCTCCGGGTCCCTCGCTGTGGCTCTTTTTATGAATATGAATGGCTTAGCACGCGCCTTTTAAGCCACCAGCTGAGATGACTTGTGGCTTTTCAATTTCTCGTTGTTGCGTTTTGCTCTTTTGCTTGTCGGTCGCCAGTGCTTGGCCCCTCTTGTGCAAACGTCTCCATATTGATCATTTTATTTTCGACGTCGTGTTTCTTTTCTTTCGTATTTTTTTGTGAATTATTGAGTACTTGACGGTCTGTGGGTCTCCGTCTGTCTGTGGTTCTGAATCAGGTCTATCCTCGGCTTAATGACTGAGCGCGATTTCTTAACTCATACATTTTTTCATACTTGGGTCGCTTTTGTCTTAGCCATCAGCTAACGGATAAGTTATAGGTAAGCAGTAATAGGGTATCCAGGAGCTCAAGTCACAACAATGCCTCTACTCTGCAATTGCCTTTGACAATATCGTTTGAGATGTGCGCCGGAAATGAGTAATCAAGATTATGCGATATTAGCAAAAATAGATTTTCGATTTCGGTCCACAAGCATTGATTGATGAGGTGAGACAGCAGCCTCCACGCGATTGGGCCGAAAGATTTCCTCGTTGAATTTGAAGTTTGTTTTCGAAATCCGATTCATCGCAGCAGCTCATAACTCCTTCTGTATAAGTCAGTTGGGTATTTTTCGGAATGCAATTAATGGACTGAGTTATGAAGCATTTCGAGCAGGTGAAATGCAAGACAGCATAATCGAGCCAGATTTATGCGACTCTGGTAGCCCAACTGCACCTTGTCACACACAAGCCATGGAAAATCCAGGGGGTATCGCTTACCCATATCGGTTTTCCAAACAACAGAACCAACTGCACCAAACTGGGCCGCAAAATGAACTTAATCAAGTAATGACCGGGTTGATGAGGAGCGGCCAAGCCGGGCCGGGCCGCATTTCTTCTGCCGTTCTTCGACGGTAACATGAGTAATACATACACCAGATACAGATCAGTAGCTAGACAATAAAACCAAAGCCCAGACATGGCTTGGCCCATTGCCATTAAAACCGACTCTCCAAGAGTCCAAGTCCAAGACCCCGTCCCGCCACAGCCCTTCTAATTGGCGCGTCCCTCATGAACGAAAAAATGCCCGCTCTCAAAGTGGGGCATAAAACTCAACATTTTATGTAATGTGTTCATTAGAGACGATAGCCCTTCCCTTCGGCTCCGGCCTGAATAATTGATCCAATAACACAGCGTGCCGTTGATTTTTTACAATCCGGCGATAAACTTTACTATCACTGATCGATATTATCGCAAAATAGTTATTAATTGTGGCGTCTGTCCCAGAATTTCCCCAAGCCACTTCCTTTGTCTTCCTGAAATCCATTTTATGCCTATGCGAATTACCTTAATTTCTTAATTTGCATATTAAAAATCGGAATTTTTTTTTTTATTGATCGGCACATAGGACGGCGACACAAAAACGTTTTTCTGGTATTTTGTCTAGATCTTCCCCTTAAAAAAAAATAAGAAATTAACGATCCATCTGTATTGAAAAACCTTTGGACATGGCCCATAAAAATGTTGGAACCATCAAAATGGTAAACGCTACACAATGGACCTTTTGAAAGGCATCTCCACCAACTTGACGATGTCTTTAATTTAATTGTCCAAGTTAGAATTAACTATAGGGTATTTTGATCAAAAATAAGAAACAAACCTTAAGAAATCATAAATATTATAATAATAAAACAAACATTTCTAAAAATTTTCATTAATATCAAGTATACGTATATTAAGTATACGTAATTAATTATTCCAGGGTATATACATGTGGTCCATCATGCTAAGGTTTATCTTTTAATAACCCATTCCTCCCGCATTTCTTTTTCCCCAAATTAGTATTTAGAAATAGTTATAAACTTGATTGCAGTTTTAAGGTGTAAATGGCAATTAGCCTGATGAGCGTGGGCCAATGGGGAAAATTAAAAAGGGAGAGCTGGAGTTGGCGTGACTGTCTTCCAGGGCAACATTGTCACCTGGCTTAAGGCCTGTCATCTGGGCTGACAGTTCGACGTAAATGCCACACGCACGCCCAGCCAATCCCAATTGCCTGCTGTGGCCCGATCGCGGCCGGTTTTTAATATTCCTGGGCATCCTAGTCCTGTCTTCTTCCGCACTCTTGCCCATAAAATGGTGAAGCGATGCGCTTACAGTTGCTATCATTATTATTACTATTATTGAATGTTGCTGGCGCATAACATAAAGTAACCAAGTGAATGACTGATCGTTAACCGGCAAACAAAATGTTAGTCCGTTCGCATTTTCCGATTCAATTGCCGGTCATAATCTGGGATAACATTCCATAAGCCTCTTTTAAGTTCCTGCCGCATAAATACGTGGTTTATATAATTCAAATGGGCTTCATAAATCAAAACCAACAAGTGGCAGGAGGATGTAGGATAAAGACTTTAAAAGGTAACCGAATAAAGTAAGATTTAACGTGATGATAAAATGTTAGTCAGTTTAAGTAAAAATATAAAATTCAGTTAAATTTTAAAAAGTAAAATCTTACTCTCATGTTCCTAAAATATAAAGAGTTACTAGAGGCCCGGTTTTTTTTAATAAATCAAAGAGCTGCCATTCGAGGGAATTCAGACTGCAAATTAAATTCCTTGCACATCGGAGACCTCCCATTTGTCCAACTCGCAGGCCAAGACACATCTTCTCATCGGGCCGACAGTAGCTCAGGCTTATGGCCATGCCGAGACTGAATGCAGGTGGCAGAGCCCTGGGGGCCGTCAAATTACCAACGTTGGCCGAACGAGCGATGGCCCTGCTAATAAAGCCGTAAAATTAAACGCCAACAGGCCGGGAAAATGGCAAGACGGCCAACTCGAGAGGCAGTGATAAACGCCCAGAGATGTTTTGAATTGTTTATTCGCGTGCAAATAATTGCAGTCACTCGGTCCCCGGTCTTGGTTGGTCAATTGGCTGCGCATTGTAATCAGATGTTTTCAGAAGCCCCCTCTCTCGGCCACATAAAAGTCAGCTCCCGGTGTTTCGGGGCGTGGAGGCGTCAATTGGCCGGGCTAATGAGCCGCTAATGAGAAAGCATCGCTGCAGGTCCCGGCGATCAAAGGGAATTGCACCTGACCAACTTTGGATGATGGAACCCATTTAATCCTCGACCATATCTCACGGCTGATCGTAATCGGATGTGGAGAAATCTAGTTTGAGGGGCGTTGCTGAGCAAAAATAATTAAAATATTTACCCATGTGCCCCAGCCAACAATCCGAATTTCGAGGCATTTAAACGGGTTGCGGCCGAAACCAAATGTAAACGCCCCAAATGCGGGCAGGCACAATTTGTATCTGTGTATCTACGTGTATCTGCAGTTGTATCTCTGCCTCTGGGCCCACCCGACAAGGCCATAAACGTTTTCTGCCATTCAAGCCAGACTAAAGCTAGTAAATGGTCGAAGAAATAAAATGTTAAGCACTCGCTGATTGGGCCCAGGGGAGTGAGCTATACACAAATGCTGTAAAGTGTACAAGATCCGGGATATTTTGTATTTTATAGTATTGGTTCCGAAATGTTGATCATTAGACTCTATTTATTTTCCTAATAATCCTAAAAATATTAATATAATACGCCCAAAGCTTTGCGGATAGTAAAATAGAAAACTTTGTAGCCTGGATGCCTTCCCCAAATCTAATCACATCCACATCTGGGGTGGGGTTTGAAAACCACCCAACGGCAAGATATTTTTTTGTTCGCCTCCTCGAATACGTCCAAACTGTCAGAAATGGCCGGAGTTGCAGCGGTTGTCGACAACAGCTAGAAACTGCAAAACAAAAACAAGGAAACAAATTTAATTAACTCGCATTGGAGCTGTTGAAAAATATTAATAAAACATTTCAATTTTCATATTTTCGTCCGCCAAACGCAGACACACACTTTTAACGAGTTTGTCTCTGCTTTTCCATAGTTTTCTTTTTCGATTCGATTGTGGAACTTGTTTTGGGTCGCCGGTTTCGGTCTGGCAATCGCTTAATTGATGCCAAAGCAAAATGTTTTGGAAACAAAAGCCGAGATATGGGCAAGCAAGTGCCATAAATAAGCTCCCCAACAACTCATCGGCTCATTAGCGGAGATCTCCGGTCATCTGCTTGAAGGAGATGCCGCCTTAGAAGCCCCACCCGCCCCAGACACCCCAGGCATTAGGAAAAACTCACCTGGATTGGATGATTGGAGTGACCGAGTGTCCCCGTCGATCAGGTCTCGGCACCATGCCTGGGCCCATAAAACAAAATCAGTTTCAAATGAAAACATATCCATGGCTCGTTAGCATCCGATCCCAGCAGGGTGGTAGCAGTGCCACAAGTGTTATGTGGAAAGTGGTGCATGAAAATATTTTCCTACGATTGTGACTGGCAAGATTGTTGTATAATAGGAATTCGACACTCAGTAGGCTAAAAATATTTGCTGGATTAGGACAAATAAGTAGACCATTATAATATATTTTTGTTCATTAAAAACATGCCACATCGCGGCAAAAAGAGTGGAAAGCCAAGGAGTAAGAAGTATGAACTGAACAGTGATCCAGAAGGCGACAGGTATGACACAATACAGTTGGGCAGCATCCTGAAGAAACTGACGATCCAAGAACAGGCGCTCATCTCCCAGAAATCCAAAAAGGTAGTAAAAAGTCTTTTACACCTGTGGCAGAATGATTACAAGCACCTGGAGTTGGGAAAGTTGCAGTGGCAGTTGAGGGGCGAGAATATGCATTGTTTTCTCAACCATATGCGTGAGCACTTCCAGAGTGTTGTTTTTCGCTCCGAGCAGCTGCAGGAGGAGCTTAATATCCTAGAACAGGCCGGAGTGGAGGAACTGCCCCAAGTTACTTCCTGTCAGATCGCCCCGAGCAATCAAGTCAACAGGGAAAAGAATCGCAATTTTGTTCAATGGCCTTTCCACGCATTGCCAAAGTTACTGACAAATTTACGCAGCCTGGAGACATTAACTCCAATACAATCCAGCTTTATTGATCAGTTTAAAAAACTGAAAGACCTTAAAATCCATGAAGGGATATCCAACGCAGCCTTGAAAGCTATAATGGAGAGTGATCTTCCACTGCGGAAACTACATTTTTTGGGCAAAAGACTTCACATCCTAGAGGGCATCTCCAATCTCTCGCAACTCAAGGACCTAATGGTTAATCTAAGTACATTTCAAAACAGTCGTGATGAAATCATACGCCTTCCCAACTTGTTGGATCTTCAAATTCATGAGACCATTGATCCTGAGGAAACACTCGAGGCAATAAAATTTGTGATCGATCGCAACTCTAGCGCTATGAAGAGTTTCAAGCTCAATACCGGCTTTATGGTCTACAGTGAAAACCTAAAAAAGATGAAGTTGAGTAGATGCAGCGCCTTAAATGAGATAATTCTAGTCCATTGCCAATTCGACAACCGGGACATGGACATGCTAAACCTGCCAGACTCCCCAGTCCTTGCCGTATTTTTCGATTGTCCAGATCTCACCGATCTTCAATTATTGGATTTTTATAAAAGTTGCCCGAATTTGAAAGAAATTGTACTTGGCTGGTGTCCACTGTTGACAGAAGAAGTACTCCATAATATTTTGAAGGTCAGACGAGAGGGAAATTATAAGAACTCTTTTCTATTCAAGGTGACAGACTGTCCAACACTTTCCAACTCATATAATGATAATGAGATATATTGGGCACAAAAAGCATCCTATTTGAAGTTGGAACTCCTGAAAGAGGACTTTGCACTCGAAAATATGCTCCATTTTCAGTTTCATAAATGTAATCCAAAATCAAGGACCGCAGCGTAATATTTTAAAATATTTACAATTTCTATAGAAATATAGAATTTAATTATATTCTACAATTTCTCAAAGAAATAAATTATGCATAAATGTGAGTGTTTTAAAACATTATTATTGGGTATATCCAGGGTATCTTAGTGAAGCTAGGACATCCATACATCCCCCTCATATGTAAAGAAGCTAAGGCTGGCTTCAGCTGTAATTAATCTTAAGACTATCAGGTGCCATCGAACCAGTCTGAACGGACTTCTCTTCTTGCTAATTGGCCGCCTGCCATGTGGCGATTTGTCATAGTCACCGACTCCACCACGCATGCGCCACGCATGTGGCAGCCTCCCAACCTCCCTCCACCTCGCCCCATCGATTTGCAAAGCCACACGCAACAGCTACACGATTTTCAACAACAAAATTTGTCATATGTGACGATAGCCAGTCGGACAATTTTCAACTACGCGCCGCGGCGTTGGCTTGGCTTTTCTCAACTCCCCTCGATTTTTCCACATCTTTGTGCGTTTTGGCGGGGCTCTGGGCCATTTTGTCGGCGGCGGCCACCGTTGTGGAATGCAAACAAATTTGTGAACATGACGCAGTTTACAGCTCCACGGCTGCCCGGCCCACCCATTGTTATAATTATTGGGCGCCCATGTGCAAGTGACAATTTAGCTCTGGTTCTCCGCATTTGGCATTTGTGGAGCGAATCGACTGGCGATGGCAAACAGTAAACAAGCAACATGTGTTGAAAGACCATGAGGACCATTGAGGACAACTGTTTTTCAGCCTGAAAAAAAGAGTTGCTAGAGAAGATATGCAAATATATCCAAATTTTAGGATAAAGGTGGTTCTGATTAAGATATTAAACTTTTGTGGAATGTATTTTATTTGATTTAAAAGGGATGTCTCCGACCTGGGTTTTTATCTACGAGACGTAAACTCCATAGAATCAATAGCATAAATCCAAAAATATTATATCTAATCCATAAAAAAACCTATAAATTTTTTTTTTTGCCAATCAAACCGTAGGGCAGTTCTTATAAAAATATAAAGTCCTTTATATAAAAATTGTATAAAGTTCACCTATCTAGCTTCATAAAAAATCTCGAACCTCGAAAGCTTAATAACTTTAGCGACCTCTGTCTGCCCTCAGCCCTCGATCCATTCAGAAGTCTCCGGTTGGAGTTTTCTGGACTGTTTCTGGTTTTCCGATCTCGGGCACTAATTCGTTTTCACACTTTTCATGCATTGGACAGGTCGAAATGGCTGGCGGCGTATTGGCAGCGCCTAATTTCATACGCCACGTCTTAGATCCCCAGTCGTCCAGTCCTCCCTGGCCTCCCTGGCCCCCCTTTCAGGCGGCTAATATTTATATTTGCCCTGCATTTCTCACTCTCCTGCGATTGCTGGCGATTTGATAAGCAAATGGAAATGCAGAGCCGGAGAAAGAGCTGAGCTGGGGTGCTGGAGGAGGCCAGGCCAGTCAGACGATGGCGGCGAAAGGTGCAAATAAATAATTTGCAGTAGCCAGGCCGGGCCAGCCACTCGACGACCCACTGTTGGCCTGCCCCACACTCTCGCACGGTTATAGCCGAGTTCCAGCGACCGAAAGCGACGGCCAGACAAATATTTTATTGCAAATTCGCTGATATTGGACGACAGGCGGCCACTGGAGCAGTTTGTACTGCTGCGCAGCTTATTCTGCTGCTGCTGCTGCTGTCCGGCTGTTTTGCATATTAAATTTATTTTATTGAATATAGACAAAGATTTAGTTAGATATGCGAGGCGAGATCAATAAGTTGTGCCCTCTCGGAGGCAATATCAAAAAGTAGAGTGAAGCATAAACCTTAACTTTTATTACAAATTAATTTTAAAATAAGTGAATTTTTGAAGAAAGCTATAGTTATTAATATCCACTATTTCATCTTAGAAACTAAAGAATTTTTCACCTATAAGATGACTTTTCCTATCGACCCTCTTTCTAGCCAACACTCACAGATTTCCAGCTCATTGTGCTGCTCCTGCCTCCCCTTTCAACCGCTCCAGCCTGCAGGGTGGCGCATAATTGCCATCGGACTCCATGGAAGGAGGCCCAGCGGGCGATGAATTATTAATTGCCGTTGATTTGCATTGAGATTTGCTCGGTCCGGGATCATTACCGGGACCAGCAATCTCGGCCGGCCGGCGTAGTGTAAACATAATAATCAACGGGCATTATATGCCGATATATGGCGATCAGCAGAATGCGCTTTTGCAAAAATGGCCGCTGGTCACCGCGGCCCCCAATTGACACCTGAGCGGCGGAGTTGCCTATTATTGCTATTACTGTTCCCGCTCCGAATCCCTCCTCCGACCATAGAGGCCACTGCTACCGCTGTAATTGTTATTTATGCACTTGCATTTAGCCGGGTGTAATGGCATGTGGCTGCCATGCCCCCTGGGATGGGCGTATATCGGGCAATTTGCACTGCCCCAGTAGTGCTCCGGATTACATAAGCGTTTGGTCGGCTTAATTGTGGATAGGGAGTATCTCCACTGCCATGTTATTAAATCTAATATGATTTCTCCTACTTCCTTTAAATAGTACTTAGTTTTATAAAAATAAATTATATTCGGGAGAATAATAATATTCCAATTGGAATGCAAGACATTGGAACCCTCACACACACACTCACAGATAGGCGCAATGGCGGATTTCAAGATGGCCGCCGGACGTGAAGAGCGGAAAACGACAGGCGAGGATAAGCAAACTGATAAATAAATAAACCGCCTAGGTTTGGGCAGGGCACACGCGCTTAAGATGAACTTGAGCCAACAAAGTCGCAAAACAAAAGACTCGAGGATGATGCCGCGCTGACTACTGTGCGATCCCTGGAATTTCGAGCGGGGCTTAAAAATACAGCCAGCCGCGCTTTTGTTGCACTTAAACTCGGTGTTAAAGCGGTGTGTTCGCTTGTCAAAATTGCACCACTACCATACCCCTTCATCCGAGCCTCTTCCGACATCGTCTCTCCTGTTTTTTTTTTATGTTAAGAAGCCACAAGAGATGACGCAGTCGAAATGACCAAATGAATTAACCCTTTTACTTTGCCAACAAACACACACATCCTACTTGCCTGTAATACGGTGGCTACAACAACAATAGAGGCCACTGATTTGTTTCTCTTTTTCGTCCTCTTCTTTTTTAGCTTCCTTAGCTGTTGTTGCAGTTTTTTTTGTGTCTTTTTGGCCAGAAAAACAAATTAAAATACACCCATCCGAAAATATTTAACTTAACACTTGCTTAGGATAGAGGGATGTTTAGAGAGGAAGCATTTTATTAATAAATTCTAAAAAAGGAGGGATGCCTTAGTATCTTATCTAAAGTAAATTATAATAATTTAAAATTTTAAACCTTTATTTTAAAAGAGTCTACTAACTTTTTGGCCCTGCTGTTTGACGGTTGTGTGTACAGTGAACACACATTTATTTAAATGCTTACCGCTCCGACTACGGCTACCAGGTCTCGCACTTGAGCTGAAGCACGGTGGAGAATTGCGCGTAAATTCGTTGCGGTCTCGCGTCATCAACGTAATCGCCGTCAACAGCAGTCAACAGCATCAAACTGGCAGGCAAACGTTGCTACTGTTTCCAGCAGTAGCAGCCGCCGCCACCAGGAGACAGACGCAGTCCGTCCAGTACAAGAAGCAACAGAAGCACCACCGGCAGCACCAGCAGCAGCAGATGTGAAGTGGTTTTTTTATGATGAGCCCCAGCCGAGCCCAAGCAGCACTTTCCATCCAAGAGGACGGAGCCACAACAAAAGCGTGTCGTGGACGGCAATGACAAGTATTTGTTCCTATACATGTCTGCACCTGGATACAGATTTAAGGTATTTACTTAAATAAACATTTTAGTCGGGTAACTTGGCCAATATGCATATACTATCTTGGTCAAAAATTATCACACTCTATTTCCCATTCAATGAAAATATAGATATGTAATATAGTTCACTCTATAATCAAACAAAACTGACGTTTAGTATTTCATTACTGTAGTTTTTTGTGAAATTTTTAAAACAAAAATCTTGGCCAAAATGAGGAGCTACCTCTGCCAAATGCGACCGGTTTTGTTCGTCTTTTATTTCGTGGAGATCTTGATCAATATGTTCCTGATGTATTACCACCTTACTGGGTTTATATATATGAACCTGAACTTTCTGCCGCTGGCCGATGAGCTTAGCCACTACTTCTACCTGACTTGCTTCTATGTCTTCACCGTTCTGACCATGTTCGCCAGCGTGAACCTGTGCACCGGGCATAGGACTAGCATCCTGGAGGAAGTGCTCCGGCCCATGGTGGGGTTCGTCGTTTACACGTTCTGTTCCCTGCTGACACTGGCTGATGCTGAATCCGGATTTTACATAATGTACTCCCGCAAGACCGAGCAGAATCTTAATTTGCCAGAAGCGCCACTGCATCCGTATCTGAAGCTCATGCGAGGCCAGGCGGTGGCCACCTTGGTCTGCAGCGTAGTGTACTTACTCCATGGTCTTATCGCCTTGGATGTCCTGCTGTCGAATGAGGATTCCGATAGCGAACGAGACACTTCCTCCGATCCTTCGGACGATATTCTAGCCGAGACGAACTATGTGCCAGTGCACCTGTGTGTCCTTGGTGGAACTTTTCAGGAGTGGCTTGAGAACTTTGAGTGGTTTCGGGACTTTACCAGCCATAGGAATCCCACAGTTTAATTAGACCTTAATGGTAATTTTAGTTGCCTACTTTCCGTATAAAGATTCCCATAATATGTAGTAACCTGGAAAATATTGGCATATGCTTTTTTTTATCGGGAATATAATGGAGCTTCCCCATCGACGCTCCTATGACGTCAGTTGGGAAGCAACAGTTAGGGGCTGCAACGGGACAAAGCTCATTGACGCCAATATGTCAACGATAAGCAGCTGGAGCAGCAACTATATCTATATCTGTGTATCTGTATCTACTGGAAGACAGTGCGCAGGACCGAAGAACGAATCGATAAATTATGGGGCATTGCGGCAGTCAAGAGCAAGGTGAAGCATTGCCCTGGGATCTCTGCTCTCCACCCAACGGTTGGGTGTTGGGTGCGGTACTTTCATTCATAAAACCACTGGATGTACGGGTATGCGGCAAGTATGAGGTCGTATCGCTATCCATTTCCCTGCGGACTTACTCAAGGCTATTTTTAACTCTGTCCAAGCTGCTGCCGGCCGGATATGGAGGGTTCAAAGTTTTTTTCTAACGGACGGCCCCCATAAACTATGCCGCACGTATTTGCAATGCAATTAGTGCGTCAGCCCAAAAGTAAACAACGATTCTTTTTTTGTAAACTTTTCTCGGAAAGGATTCTTTAATTTTTATGCAGACTCGAATCATAGGGATTAAAAGACTTTACGTATTGCGTAAGAATTTTGTTTATTTTTTACTTTTAATATTTAAATATTTTATACTATACAGAAATAAGGCATTTATTATTTTGTTAGGCATGAAAGTATTATTTATATCTTTTAGGTTCTTAAAATCAAAAATATAAATTTTTAAATTTATTTTTTAAGAAGTAGTACAATGTTAAGAATCTCAAAAATGTGTTTGTTTTGACTTTCTTCTTAATATTTAACTTTTAATATTTTAAGATATAAGAAACCAAACTTTAAAAAATTTAGGCATTCTAAGAACTACGTTCCAACGACGTTTCCTAGATGAAATAGGAATTTAAAATTGATGAAATTTCTTATTATTAAATTATATAATCATTTAAAATTGATGAAATTTCTTATTATTAAATTATATAATCATTAAGTAAGTCCTAGAAATCTCATTTAATTTAATTTAAAATCAGATATTTGAAGTAAGAGTGAAGGGTAATTTAGCGAAAAGACACCTTTAAAAGCATAACCCAGAAAGCTGAAATAAATCTTGACAAATTAATTTAACACGGAGCAAATAAATGCTTTCCGCCCACGCAGAAAGCGAATGTGAAATGTACATACTTAAATGCGAAAGGGAAAATCGATAAGGACGCCATGCCGCGGGAGTGCCGCGTCCTTGAAATCGAAAAGGGAAAGAGCCATTCATGAAATTAGCAGGGCATTTCATGAATGAAAATGGCCAGCGAGGCGACAGGGGAATCTTTCGGCATTTGGTGAGCATGCGCCTGGACAACAGTCACTCTTTGAGGATCCGAGGATTCCGGGGGTAGGGACTGTGGACTTGACTTCGAAACTTCCCCTCTTCAGGGCACTGACGCAACCACAATGCGCTGTTCCAAGGTCAGCGTAAAATTTCATTCATAAAACCGATACGCCCCGTGGCGCGGCTTGTGTGCCTCAGTTTGTGTGTGTGTGTTGGTTCGTACACGCGCGTGTAAGTTCCCGAGGGGGTGGATGTTGGGTGGTGGATGGGTGGGTGAAACGGGAGCCAACCAGTTCGTATTTGGAGCCAAGAATTAATGGGGGGATGTGGGTTAAAGGCGCTGCTTGTTGATTTTTCTACGCGTGCAAACACAAACAAAAGCGGGAAACCATTTCATTCATAAAACCAACCGGGGGGGCGACACACTCCTAAAGCCCAACCACGAGCACATGTCTCTGTCGTCTTTCGCCCCCATGGGGGTAAGACCCCAGGCTCAACATTTTTGGAGCAAATCCAGAAAACAATTTCTCTCGAAAGCTGAAAGCACTTTTTGCCTCTAGGAATTTTCGCTGAACTTAGTCATTTGATTTTCCTTTGGTGACTGGAGGACAGTGCCATTTATCTAAAGGGAAAATGTGAAAGGTTATGGGATGCTCACATCATGGTTTCACATAATATAGCTTTAAGAGTATCTATATGTTTTTATTAACCTCCTTTTCATCTAAAAATACGGTCCTAATTTAAGATGATGCACTGCTGCGCTGGGATCCTTTGATCTGGACCCTCTTTTAGATCCTCCTCGATAATAGACCGTCTCCTTATTTTCCAAACACGATCTACCATTCTTTCCTTATCTACCTTGCAGCCTTTTACCGGCTTGATCGTTGGCTCGGAGATTAGTTCTACATCGCACTTTTCCAGCAAACGCCGGAGGAGGAGTTCCAAAGGTTCCTTAAGATTCCATGCGGCTTTACAAGATATTTCACAGTAGTCGAAGTTGCCGCGACGACGAAGCATCACCTCACGAGGAAATGGATTTAAATCCGCCATATTTCCACAGATCACCACAGGAAGATCACATCCGCAAATCGCCTCCAGTTCTCGCACCCACTCCACCACACTTCCCGCAGACAACATATCACTTCGATCGAACATTATGATGGCACACTGGGCGTGGAAGAAATAGCCATTGTGTAATCCACCGTGCTGGCAGTCTCCAGCCACGTCCCAGAGCTGCAGGGCGACATTTTGGTAATTAGTTTCCAATGGCAAAGTGTACACCATGAGTCCCTTGGTGGGCACATGATGCTCCGTAAAATTTCCAGTGGCTAGGAGCCGCATGAACGTGGATTTCCCCACTCCGGTGTTGCCCAGCAGCAGGCATTTATACGTTTGTTGACTTGACCAATTTGGCTTAAAGATCATGTTAAAAAAATTTACTAAGCTTGATGTATAATTATGTAGAAATTAATAAAATATATTATTGTGCCCTAAAAGCCTATGGCTTTACAGACTTCCAAAGTAAATGATGTGTTTTCTTGGAAAATGACAGGATAATCAAAGTAATAATTGTGCTTTGAAGGTTATTAAAGAAAGGAATTAAAATGGTCTTCCTTCCTTTCACCAAAAGAACATAAAGGGTCTACAAATGTACATATATATTTCATATTTTAGGAATAGAGTTTATATTTAATTTTATTTATTAAAGAGCTCAATAACAGTCCATATGGTTGATTTAAGTATAGATTTTGCCAAAACTGATTTACAAATATACAGAACCACCTTATAGCAAACCATACAAGGGATTTTCAGGCACTCTTCGATTTTCTAGAGAGAACATTGAAACAATATTTCTGAGCTATCAACTAGAATACCATCGCGTTATCCATTCTTACATATACTTACGTATTCTATTCAAATTACCAATAAACAGAATGTAAAAAACGCAACTAGATATAAAGTAACATCAAATATATAATAAATTAGCATCGATTTATGGCTACAGTTGAGTCGTTTGATTGCCGGACGGAAGCGCTGCTCCTTTCTCCGACAAACTGGGAATGCCCGGCTCTGACTCCGAGCGCTTGTGCGTTCGCTTGGGCAGCCGATGGATCGCTTGCTTGGATTTGTTAGGACTTCCTTCTCCGCCAGCGGAATTGTTGAGAAGCATCAGATCCGGCTGGCTGCGAACCAGATCCTGCTCTTGATAGATCTCCTGGACGGCAGAGTTTGCGTTGGTGTTGGTCACCTGCTCGTTGAGGCACACATCATCCAAGTCGACATCGCTATTGGAGAAGAGAGCCGTGGCGCCCAGTTCCAGGGAATTGGTGACATCCAATTCTTGTTCGCTGACCGCCTTTTTCGGCGTCGATGTAGAGGTGAGCGAGGCACGCGAGAAGTTATGACTTACATCCAAATTTCCGGCACTTGGTGTGGTCAGAAGCGTGGGGACAGCCTGAGCTGGCTTCGTGCCAATATTGATATTGTTGTTGTTATTTTGACCTCCAATCAACGAAGAGTTGGAAGTGGGTGCCCCAATAACCGGCACATTAGTCATGCTGCTTGGAGTGGAGCTATTTCTCTCAGTCTGGTGCTCTTTCATTAGCTTACAGGCCTTGCCAAGGGCACATATAGTTAAACACACTCTAAGTCCCATTGCAAATAAGTAGGCTAACAGGAAAAGCAGCCAGGCGGCCAGGCTTTTGAACGAAACAGCTGTGTAAATGGCTTTGATCAACACCACAGCCAGTGGAAATGGGATGAAACCCATTCGCCGGGCAACCAAGTCCGAATGATCCGAAAAAGCGTGCTTCTGTCGTGTCTGGGTCATGTCGTAGGCCAGACTGGTCGTATACTCTCGATAAATGCTCTCCGGCAGCTCATTGAATCGCGTTATAAACGCATGTTTCACCCAATCGATCAGAATTTCGGTGAAAAGAACAGCAACGCAGTCGGGAAGCATTACACAAAACTGGGTGATGCACCAATCAAACTCCTTCATTGTTTGGATCACCACGATGAAGAGCAACACAGACAAGTGGAAACGCTCGCGCACATCGCTGCACGTGAGCTGGAACAGGTTGTTTTTGTCAAACTTTTTGAACACGGATCCTTTGAGCTCAACAAAGTTGTTCGATATCATAATAGTGAGCAATCCTTTGTTGTTTGAGTTAACGGCTACGTTTAAGCAGGTGGCCTACGAAAGGAATTCTTAGAAAGCACTGTGGTTACTGAAGATGGGTTCGCTTACCTGAAACATAATCAGGCCACTGTGCAGAATCACATAGATCAGAGTTAGTAGAGTGTGTGTGATTGTGCCAAAGTGCTCCCGCTTTGAATTCTTCGGTTCGGTGGCTGTCCAGAAGAGAGCATCTATGGTATCCTGGCCGAAGGCAGAGAGCAACCGGTCGCCCACCTCCAGCATATTATAAAATATGTACAATTTAATAATAGACTGTGACTTAATGATGTGGTACACTCGGTTGGTGTCCACCAAGAGCATTATGAGCGTTACGATTATCCAAATGACTCCCTTGAGCAAATCGCATATTTCTGCCGGGGACAGCAATCTCTGGCCGCCACTACGGAACCGAAAGATGCGTGCCACCGTTCTATAGACCAATGCCCAAACAGCCATTAGGAATCGAATCGGTAGAAAGGTGTGAATGTATAGAAAAGAATCTGCACACTGCATAATCCCATAGACCATAAATCGCTCCAGGTCCCGAGGTATACGCATGAAGCTGTATATCTTCTGTCGTCGCGCCGAGTAACGTTCTTCATCGTGCTCCAGCATATATCCCCGGGTCAATTCGATTTTAAAGAAATCGAAAAACGTATTCGCGCAGGTTTCGTAGTTGTCTGTCGAAAGAATATTTGCATTAGGTGGCTCAAATTATACGAAATAATGACAATATTTGGTCTTACCGGTCTGATTCCGCTGATGCATTGCTCCCGCCGTTGCTGCCGTGGGCATCGCTGCAACGTCATCCTGGCCAAGCGGCTTTGGTGGTAGCTGGTGCTTCGGCTTGGTCTCCTCCTGTTGGCTCTGGTGGAACGGATGCAGTTCGTCCACACGGTTGTGAGTGCTCAAATCGCCGCGAAAGCGCAACTGCCGCTTGCTGCCGGCGTTATTTATTGAAGTAGTCATTTAGTACAAATTATCCCCATGAAAAATTAATAATAACAATGAGCCAAGTGTCAGGGGAAACTGTATGACAAATCTCTAACGCGAGACAAAATACCAAAAAGCAAACTGGGATTATATCGATAAGATACTAAGTTGTACGTACTACCGCAAATTCATAAACGATATATGTATATCGAAAACGGTGGCAAAAGGAAAAAAATAAAATTATCGCTCAATTGCCACCTCAAAATAAGCGCTCGAAATATAGTTAACTAAATTTCCAAGAATATGAGCAACTCCGTGGATTTAAGCTCCTACCGGGACCAACATTTCAAGGTGAGCTTCATCTTTGGTCGATTAAAACTCTTCTAAATCCATAACCCACAACAGGGCTCCCGTTCAGAACAAGAGAGATCTCTTCGAGAATCGACAACGCTATATGTGGGAAATCTGAGCTTCTACACAACGGAAGAGCAAATCCATGAGCTGTTTTCCAGATGCGGCGATGTCCGGGTGATCGTCATGGGATTGGACAAGTACAAGAAGACGCCATGCGGCTTCTGCTTTGTGGAGTACTACACGCGTTCGGAGGCGGAAGCAGCCATGAGGTGAGAGCTGTCTCGTTCGAGACATCCTATATTTAATTTGGCCTTCTAGGGTATTGTTATTTTTTATTCATATTCTTAACAATATTTTAGGTTTGTAAACGGTACGCGACTGGATGATAGACTGATTCGGGTGGACTGGGATGCCGGCTTCATTGAGGGCAGACAGTATGGACGCGGCAAAACCGGCGGCCAGGTTCGAGACGAATACCGCACAGACTACGACGCCGGGCGAGGCGGCTACGGCAAACTGTTGTCGCAAAAGATCGCTCCCAACACCGATAACCGCTAACTTAAGATTTATAAGATAAAAGACTAATCCCACAACTAGATATTAAAACACACACATTTTAGATATAACATCTCTAATCGCATATATTGTACGGGCTACATACATAGTTCTTTTCAAGACGTAATTGATATCATTGCGGCCTAGTGTAACAGTATGAGTTTCAAGCATTTACGTTGACTGGAATAACCTTTTACTTCTTTCCAATGTTGTTGGCAAGGGAGCAGCTGAGGCCTGTGCCATCGGGCTCCACATTCAGCTCGGTGACCTTGCCGTTCTCCACCACCAGGGAGTAGCGCTTGGAGCGCACTCCGCCAAGCGGAGGCAGGTCAATGGTCACGTCCAGAGCCTTGGTGAAACCACCAGCGGGATCGGCCAGAAGGCGAACCTTTCCGGCAGCACCATGCTCCTTACCCCAAGCAGACATAACGAAGGGATCGTTGACGGAAACGCAGACGATCTCGTCCACACCTTGCTTGGATTTCAGCTCGTCAGCTGAGCTCACATAGCCGGGCAAGTGGGTCTGTGGGAAGTAAATAAATTAAATTTGGTTGAATAAAAAGAATGTAATCCCTCAGACTACATGCAGGGATTTTTTCAGTGGAAAATAGGGTGCATTACAGAATGTACTTACTTTAGAGCAGCCAGGAGTGAAGGCTCCGGGCACTCCGAAGATGATCACTTTCTTTCCGTTGACCAGGTCACCGGTGTTTATCTTGTTAGCCGGGGAATCCTCGAAGAGATCCACTGAGGGCAGGGCATCACCTACCTAAAATAAAAATCACACACATTTACATGAATTGTAACCTTGAGTGCATTGCAAAGTCTCTTCCGCCGCAATCAATATTTATGCCTGCACCGGGACCTTATGTAATTGCCCCCGGCGGTTCCCCTTATCAGTATCGGAAGATTTCGACGAATCTACTTACTTTCACCATGACTGGAGCTGTTTTGGACAGGGATCGCACCGAATTAATTTGTTGGAAGGAGTTTGCAACTCGGCCAATAAATTTGCAAGACAGCACACGCATTCTCCTCTCTTTCTCCTCTTCTCACACACACAATTGCACACCTGCCCGCAATGGCCGCTGCATCTGTTCGCAGAGCTGCCAGATTTGTTAAAAAAATATATTTAATAAAAGCTGAATTAAAAAACTGTTATCTAGGTTTATTAGAGTTATTTTTCAATAAAAATTAGACTTTTTAAAAGTTTGTCAAATTTCTTGTAAATATTAAAACAATGACAATTTTACAGAAAGCTTAACGGTGTTTATGTTATATTTAGAATATATAAAAACGTTCTTACTTATTAGCTATACTTACTTCTTAATTTTGTTAAAATGTTAAAATGAATGTAATTCATTATTTGTGTAATTTGTTAAAATGATTTAAAAATATTGTATATATATGTGGAAAAATATTTTTCCGTTGCGCCCACCTAAATTTATGCTTTACAATATAAATATATCGGATTTAAAATATTTAAATCAAATTCTTAGTAAAAATGTCAGTTGTGGTTATCAGTCAAGTTTTATATTTTTCTACCGCGTGGGGGGAAATACATATGTATAAACAATAAATTTGCATAGTCAGTGAGGATTGGGAAGATGGATCGCCTATAAACTTATCAACTAAGTGGGCACTCTGCTGACTATACTATCTGCAAATCTCTCCAGGTCATCCAGGCTCTGTTCATTTAGTTTCCTCTCAAAATCGGCCATAAACTCGTTGGTCAAGCGCACTGCCTGCTGTTCCGGAAAGTGCTTACGGAATCCTCGGAGTATACTATCTTTAAGGCAGGGCTTTACCACAAGCAGGTTTAGTTTGGTGCCCTGCTTGATGCTCGGATAGGAGGCAATGGTCTGGTCATTGTTCAAAGGGCGCCCCATTAGCAGGAGTTTCTGATTTGCCGCGGAAATTTGGAGCTCCCCTTCTATTTGTTGTTTCACCTCCAAAATCGTGGATGTCGGCGAGACCTTAAAAACGGTATTTAATTGTCAATCTGTTTAGTATAAATGACTAATACCTACTTCAAGCAAGCAGTCCTGGCCCTTAAGCACTTTGATGGTGATCTGCATAGCAAATTTGTTAGTTTCTATAAAATTAAGCAAGTTTTTTTTTGGCTCGCAAGCAATATAAACAATTCCGCTAGAGCGTTACCACCTGACTCAATAAACAGAGCTGTCAAAAGATACGACTTTATTATATTTATCTTTTGTAATCTCCTTGAATTAAATGATTAATTGTATAAAATAAATATAAATTGCACTTCGAACAAGTGTCTGGATTATTTAATATTTTATTTGAAACAATTAATTTTGAAAAACTATCGAAGCTCTCGTTGGTGTGGCAGCTCTGCAAAGCTAACCGCAGCCCTGGCAACTCTAGTTTCTATTGAGCAGGCCCGACAACGTTGCGTGAATAAAACAGTTTACATAAATTATTATTTACAATTGCACAAGCCGTTGATGTTGAGCATTCTCGAGCAGAAGGTGAACTTGACCCCGGTGCTGATAGCCCGTTTAGCCACAAAGTGCGAAATTCGCGAGCTAGTATTGTGAAATTCGCTGGCGAAAATCACGGCAGCGATCGAAGAAATTGCAGCGCAAATAATACCTAGCCTCGAGTGAATTAACGCGGTGTGCGTGCGGGTGTGTGAGTGTGAGCGTGCGAGTGTGGCGGTGTGTGTGCGTGCGTTTTGTTAGAATTCGCATTTTACGTAAAGAGCAGCTTTTATCAGCAGTCAACTTGATGTTGGCGAACCTAAATCGCAGCAGGGGAAAATTGAACAAGTTCTTGCAGCTTCTGGCGGTAATGAATCCCTTTGAAAACCCCGACCCCGACCCCGACCTCGCCCCCCTCCACGAAATCCGTGAATAATCCATCCCACTATTGAAATCTATATATTTATTGTGACTGCAAGTGCAACAACTATTAATTATGCCTAGTACACATTTTATTTATACTCTCTGTCATTGTGGTCTCCTCCGCCTCTTTCTACATTTTGCTCTTTTTCTTAAACAATATTTGTTGTTGAAGAATGCCTGCCCCTGACTCCTCCCCAATCCCCTTATGCCCCTTGCACCTACACACCACCCAAAACCAAAAAGCGCTCTTCCCGTTTCGACGGAATCTTCGGCAACCCTAGCCAATGGGTTGTCGCAACTTGTTGCTCGTCCCCTCACATTGCTCGCTCACTCTCTCTATCTCTCTCTCTCTGTGTGTGTGTGTGTGTGTTTTGGCACATTTTGTTATTTATTTCCGTTCAGTGTAAGTCTTCCAAACCCAAAGCAACGAAAAAAAAATATGAATGTTTTATGGATCTTGCTGTTTGATGATCGGTGAGAGATAATGCGATCCCTACTATATAATCGTCACCTGTTCAATAAGAAGAACCTAGCGCATTCATTAAACGTTGCATGTTGTGGATGCTCGAACGTGTTTTTAGTACCGTTTAGAACCGGATTTGGTCAGCTTGGTAGAAAATCATGTTGGGACTTCTTGTGACAACTTTGGATTCTGATTCGAAGCGGTTTTCCGCCATTAAGGCAATTCCAATTGGAACACTAGAGATTATAAAAGGTTTCTCTGATTCCAATAGGAAGAGTTAGCCTCGGGTAGGAAAAATACCATATTCTTAAATCTCCGGAGATCTGAACGAGTGTGTGTGTGCTGTTAGTTATTTTTTTGTTTTTTTCTAATTGCATGGTTTTGTTTTCTATTATTTTTAGTTATTGCTACGTTAATTTCTTTCTTTCGACACTCCCACAGTGCAAATAAAATAATTTTCAGGTAGCGATCCGATCAGCCGGCTGTTATTTGTTTGTTTGTTTGTTTTCTTGCTGGGCTTTCGCGTTACCGTAAGTGTGTGAGCCGTAAAGGGGAGAGTATACGAGAAAATCGAGGGCCCAGAGATAGCTGACTGCGTATTATGGATAACGAGGCGTTAGAAGCAACAACAACAGCAACACCATCCGAAGTTGCAACACCACCAAGCACAGCAACAACAACAACATCAGCAGCAGCAACAGCAACAACATCATCAGCAGTATCAGGAGCAACCACATCATCTTCATCTATAACCGCATCGCCATCGTCATCGAAAAGCGAAGCAGCCACAAACAATAACAGCAGCAGCAGCACAAGCGGCACTAGCATAGTCGTAGCCACTAACGGTATCAAAGAGAGTAACAGTAACTTAAGTACAACAACAGCACCGTCAGCAACGCCAGCATCATCAGCCACAACAGCAACAACAACAACCATACCATATCTGGTCGGCGTTCCAACCAGTAGTGAGGTGAGTTGTGTGATCCCCACCCCCCCAACACCACCCATCTCTATCCACTCTCACTGTCTCCCTATCTCTGTCTCTTGCTCACCTGTTGCCCTCCGCCCTATGACCTATGACCTAAGCATGTGTAACCATTTTTTAGGCAAAACCAAAAGCTAATAAATATTTAAAAAATAAAAAAGGCATGTTTAAATATTAAATGTCTTAAATCCACATATTAGTCACCGTAATGCTTACTCGTCTGTACAACAAATCAATTAGTGTGTGACTATTGCCCACTTTATAGACCCAAACACTTCCTAGTACTACAAATCGCAGGCTCTAACAATATCTAATCTTATCGCCCCCAATGATGTGTGTTACCTCCACCTCCAATTAGACTTTCAATGTTGTGGCTTGGATAACAAATCAAATTATAGATGTATCAAAAGCGCTAACAAGCTAACAAGTGCTTAGCACTGTTATCATTTCAAATATAAGTACTTTATTATTTTAATATTTTTTGTTTAAAACACAAGTCTATGGCTCGAACGCTGCAAAATATTTGCTTTTTAAAACAACCTCCAAGGCTCCAAGGAATGCCGCTTTTAGTGCCTGGTTCGATACCCAGCAGTAACTTAATTCCCCCGTGTTTATGGAATACCTGTTGCTATCCGAACCCCGCTCGCCCCGTGCACATCTCTATGTTTGGTCTAAACTAAACTGAAACTAACCCACACCCACAGGCAGCGCGGCTTAGGCGTCAAGGATTCGCGCAAAGCAAGGTAAACAGGGGGCTCGCCGATGTAACCCGAAGGACTCTAATCTCTACCTCCAATTTTTGCAAGTTCAACGTTCGAGTATGCTTTCGTAAATGTTGCTTTGCTTTTGTTGTTTCAACAATTTCCTTTTTTTAATTCTACTAACCACAAATAACTCGTCTGGCATGGGAAAAGTAAACAAGAAATACCGCCATTGCGCCCATTTGCAGGCTAACAAAGACAAGGACAACACACCGCCCCGAGATGCACCGCCGCCCACGCCGATCACCAAGGGCCTGAACCTCACCGGCACCCCCATCGTTCGCAAGGAGAAGCGCCAGAGCAGCGCCCGCTACAATGCCTCCAAAAATTGTGAACTGACGGCCCTCAGTCCCCTAACCGAGCGTGAGTATATGATAATTCACAATAGCTACTAAGATTAAGAATTAGTATAGTACTTAGTTTTAAGATTTGGCCACATTCCAGGATATTTTTAATTTGTAGCATACTTTTTGGGATAAGATATCCCTCTATAGATATAAGTATAATTTCCTGAGATTGTAAAGGCATAATGTCTATGAGGGTTATAATAAAAACCATATCCATAAGAAATTTAATCGAAAGCGTATATTTCAGTTCTTATTTCGCTCGATTATTTTCGCTCAGCTGTTGCAATTGTTTATTATTATTTATTAATCACGAACGTTAAAGGTCAAGGGATTGCCATCAGATTAGGTGGGTGGCAACACTGACGCACAACGGTGCACATACACACACTCGCATACCCGTACACCCCGTTACAGCAGCACATTCTCCCCCAATTTCGACTCATGCGCTTTCTCTTTACTCTCTTCACCCTCACCCCCAACGACAGCCAGGCGCTCTTAATGTCATCAAAATGATTAGTTATTGATTGTATTATACTATTATTGCTAATTGCTGTGGACATTTTGTGTATATATTGACACAAGAATCGTATAAACAAATTTCGCGTGTTCGATTTTATTGTTTTAGCCGATAGCTTTGTTTGCGGCTAATGTTGTTATTGTTATTGTTGCTCCCGCTGCAACAGCTCTCCCCCACCAAGGCTCTCCGGCTCGCTCTCTCTCTCTCTCTCTCTGTTTCCGCGAATGTATCGATTTTTCCGATTGCCGCAGCAGTTGGAGCAGCAAAATAGTTACCGTTAGGCAATTGCAAGACGCAATATTAATATTTGAGAGAAATACCCATTTATTTTGTTGTTTAATTGGGTTTTTTAAGTGCCGACCCTCTCGCTCCCACCCACCAGATAGAAGTAAGTGAATTAAAGCCGTTATCCGGTAGAAAAAAAAAGGAGAAACATTTTGTGCGGAGGCGTTGGCATTTGCATTTTCATTTCCCATTTTCCATTTTCATTTGCATTCCATTTCGTATTGTGTTGTCAGCACAACCGCATTTGGCATTAATCTAAACCATTATCTCTATATTGCAATTCCATTACAGATCCTATAATTTCATGCTTAGCGTGCCCACATTGAATTAGTAGTGTATACAAATTGTCGGTTTTTTTTTGTCCGTCAGTCGTTGTTGAATGATTGCGTTTCGATTAGAGCCGTCTGAGTGGCATTTCCATCAAAAGCGGCACTAATGAGATGGTCTTCGGTGCTATGCTGCTATCGGGCAACATAAACGGCCCAAAAAAGCAACAGGAACCACAACAGCAGCCCCAACAACAACAGCAGCAGAAGGACGAGAACCCGCAGAAACCGAAACCGGCTGAAATCAAAGCCTCCAGAAGCCACAAGGATACCCAAGATACCCAGCAACCACCAGGCGCCGGGTATTATGCGCTCGGCATTCGAATTCCAAAGTCGCCATCTTTCCACAGTGGTCTAGACCAGCTGGCCGACGACGAGTTGGAGGACCAGGATCAGAATCCGGACCAGGATCGGGAGCAAGGCGGCAGCAAATTCAAATTCAGCAGCGTGGAGGAGCTCAAGGCCAAGTTCGAGGGGCGGAAGACGCCCCTCTCGCCACCGGAAGCGGCCGCCGGATCAGCGGCAACTGCCTCCTCTTCGCCCTCGTCCTCCTCCACCAGCTCCAACTCCTCCGCCTCGGCTCTGTCCTCGCTCTCGCAGGCGGGCTCATCTTCGCTGGCCTCGGCGGCGGCCAACTCCTCGGCCTCATCCTCGGCGGCAACGTACGGCGGTGGAGCCAATTCGGCGGCAGCCGCTCTGATAGCCTCCTCGCCCTTTGGATCGCAGTCCTCCACTTCCTCGTTGTCGCTTTCCTCGAATGCCGGCATGCCGAAGCCCGGAGCTACCACAACGGCTGCCCCAACCAGCGCTGGAAACTCGCTGGTGTCCACCCTGGCGCAGCACTTTTCGGCGGCCACCTCGGCAGCTGCCTCTGCGGCAGCTGCAGCCGCTTCTTCTGCTTCCGGTTCGACAGCTTCCGGCTCGTCTGCTTCCTCGTCTAGCGGCGCCAGTAATGCATCCGGCTCCATTGCCGCCAGCAAGGTTTGCAGCTTTAGTCCACACACGTACATACACCCAACGCTACCACTCCACACCTGCACCACCGCCCACACCACATCATGTCCAGATAGCATTTATTTCTAGTTCGGGAATCTGCCAAGTGTGAGATATAATCCTTCGAATTTCGTGGAATTTGTGCCATGCATGGTGTTGTTTAAATTAATTATTATTTTATGACGTAAAGTGGAATGATATGCATGGGTATTACTAGCTAATAGTTCAAGTATTTTTATGGGAAAAATCCATCCGAATAATTGTGAAATTAGGGGCTTAATAGGTCTTTCAAGAGGGGGCTATATAAGGCAATTAAGGGATATGAATGGAAGTATTCATAGAAATAGTTAGTCCCACCGGACATGAATGTTAGTAAAATATAATAGTCACAATGAGCAAGAGGTTCTCCGGAAATGTCTATCAAAAATCAGACATAAAGTCAATTGTGGTCAGTTCTTGATTTAAATTTAGAAATATTTACATAAACTAGAGCATCTACATCATCTACAGACAACCATTTACACACAAAACTACCCACCTATCGATAGTGCCTTCAAATTTTAAACCAAAATACCACTCTGCTCTCATTTCATCGCTAACTCATCCTCCAGTCACCGGTGAGCGCGGCCGCGGCCATTAAGAACATACTGAATGCCACCAAAAGTGTGGGCAACAGTGCTGCAGCGGCGGCTGCAGCAGCGGCGGCGGCCACCTCCTCATCATCCTCATCCTCCACACCAGCCGCCCCAACAACTAACAACACCACCAACGCCATAGCCACAGCCACCGCTACCGCTCCCGTCACCAGCACTGGCACTGGCATCGGCACCGGCACTGGCCCTGGCCCAGGCGCCATACCAAACAACGAGGCGCCCGCAGAGGAGCTGCGCCCAACGGTGGCCCAAAATCTGGTCGGCGGCATTAGCATCTCACTGGGCATTGGCCAGCGGAATGGCAGTGCCACACAGACGGCAACAGTTGTGGCCACATCCAGCTCCACTGTGGTGGTGTCCTGTGCATCCAGCAGCTTGACCATCCTGCAGCAGAACGGTGACCACCATCACCAGACGCTGCAACAGCTGACCGGCAGTCCGGGAAGAGCTCGTGACCGGAATCTGTTCCATACGCCACCCACCGCTTCGGTTGCCCTGGCGCTGCCTGCACTGCGAGGTTGCTATCCATCCAGCCCAAGCGGCATGGGGGGGGGGGGTCAGCCTTCCCGTCGTGCCCTTGGGCTTGGTCCTTTCTGATCTACATTGGTTTCATTTTGAGTTTCGCTTGCTCGCTTTTGTTGGTCGATAAGTTGTATGAATCTACATTCTTAGTTTCTTGTCGTCAAGTTTTTATTTCTATTATAGTTATTCAATTATCCTAAACTATCCTAAGACTTTGACTTTGGTTCTGATTTCCGACTGCTTCCTTCTCAGAAACGACGGCTGGCGAACGGGAGGAGCTGTTCATCCAAAAGATCCGGCAATGCTGCACACTCTTCGACTTTTCGGAGCCGCTGAGCGACCTGAAATGGAAGGAAGTGAAGCGTGCGGCCCTCCACGAGATGGTCGACTTTCTCACAAACCAAAATGGCGTGATTACCGAAGTGATCTACCCGGAAGCGATCAACATGGTAAGTGGCTATCATGGGTATTAGTTAGAGAGAGTTATTAAGGTGGATTTTCTTTTACAGTTTTCTGTCAACCTTTTCCGCACCCTGCCGCCATCGTCCAATCCGAATGGCGCTGAATTCGATCCCGAGGAGGATGAGCCGACGCTGGAGTCGTCGTGGCCGCACCTCCAGCTGGTCTATGAGCTTTTCTTGCGCTTCTTGGAGTCGCCGGACTTCCAACCAAATATGGCTAAACGATATATCGATCATCAGTTCGTATTACAACTATTGGATTTATTCGATTCGGAGGATCCGCGAGAACGTGATTTCCTAAAGACTGTTTTACATCGCATCTATGGAAAATTTTTGGGTTTGAGAGCATTTATTAGGAAGCAGATCAACAATGTCTTTTACAGGTGCGACTTGATATGACGTCTCTAAAGCGCAAATAATGAAGTACATATCTTATAGATTTATCTATGAAACGGAGCATCATAACGGCATAGCCGAGTTACTGGAGATCCTGGGCAGTATAATCAATGGCTTCGCTCTACCGCTCAAAGAGGAGCATAAACAATTTTTACTTAAGGTATTGTTGCCATTGCACAAAGCCAAGAGCCTCTCGGTCTACCATCCGCAGCTAACCTACTGCGTGGTGCAGTTCCTCGAGAAGGATCCCAGTTTATCCGAGGCTGTTATCAAGTGAGTAAAAAGCTAAAGATGAATATATTGCCTAGAGTTCTGATACCAAATCCTCTTGTTTTCAGAAGCCTTCTTAAATTTTGGCCGAAGACACATAGCCCCAAGGAGGTGATGTTCTTGAATGAACTGGAAGAGCTACTTGACGTAATCGAACCGGCCGAATTCCAAAAAGTAATGGTGCCCCTGTTCCGCCAAATAGCCAAGTGCGTCTCCTCGCCGCACTTCCAAGTGGCTGAACGGGCGCTCTACTATTGGAATAACGAGTACATCATGTCCTTGATAGCGGACAACTCTGCGGTCATACTACCCATCATGTTCCCCGCGTTGAATCGCAACTCCAAGACGCACTGGAACAAAACAATCCATGGATTAATCTACAATGCCCTCAAGCTGTTTATGGAAATGAATCAGCGGTTGTTCGACGACTGCAGCAAGAACTACAAGCAGGAGAAGCAAATGTAAGAAGGGTTTACTTAAATCCATACCTAACTTAATATTAATGTAACCCGTTCGTTGGTCACCAGGGAGCGCGAGAAACTGTCGCAGCGGGAGGAGCTCTGGCAGCAGGTGGAGAGCTTGGCCAAGACGAATCCGGAGTGGTCGAAGGCGCGTCGGTTCAACGACTTCCTGCCGCCGAACGACAGCCGAAACCTGTATAATGAATACAATGAAAATTGTGATCTGCCCTATGAGCAGAACGAGCAGCAGCAGGCCCGCCAGCCGCCGCCCCCACTTCCGCCGCAGAAACAGGCGCTGCAGGAGCCCCGAGAGGTGAGACAGGCACTTGCCACACTAACCACACTAAACAACTACTAATCTGCCGCGCCTGATTCGCGGTGCGGCGCTCCTAGCCACGACCCATCTGGCTCAACTTTAATTCTAATCGAACGAATGTCTGTTAAAATAATCACACTCATGTCATTTAAAACAAAAATACATATTTGTATATCTTTAACTATGTCTATTTATTTATTACTTATTGGTTCACTCACTGTCCGCGAATCTAAGCCCAACCGCATCACTGACCCCCGACCTGTGACACTTTCTTGATGTGCCTACCATCTGGCCTGCACAGTGACTAAGACTCACCTTCATCTGCCACTCATGTTGATTAATTGAATAAGTTATTGATTTCATCATAATCGAGTCATTCATGAACACTTTTCAAGATAGAAAGATATATTTTCTAAAAAATTATTTCATTATAATTGTAATAATGAAGTTATTTGTTCAATTTGCCTTAATGTGCATGATTTGCAAAACCCTATTCCAAATGATGTCACTCTTATATCAAAAATGTTTTCTATTTTAAATGTTTTGTGTTGTGAATATAAACAAGAAAGGAAAGGTCATTTCGGGCAGAGCCGAAGTAGATATACCCTTGCAGTTAAGATCGGATATATACTGAAATTAAGCATATAATGGGCCGATCCTTATTAGAATTTCTTACTGAAACCAATTTATTAGAATACAAAATTATAAAAAAGAGTCCCAAGCTTCTATTTTCAAATATTATCTTCACTTAATCCGATAGTTCAGTTATACGGCAGCTATAGGATGTAGTCGGACGATTCTTATGAAAGTTTGTATGTCGTATTATTTTACCTAAAATAAAATCCATAGAAAATCCCACTTTCTAAATCTAAAAGTACCTAATTTAAGGCATTTCCGATGATTCAGTTATATGGATAGGATAAAGCTTTACAACTGAGAAACTAGATCGCATGCTCAACTAGAGACAGACGGACATGCTTATATCAACTCAGGAGGTGATCCAGATCAAGAGTATAAATCCTTTATAGGGTCTGAGATGTCTACTTTACTAGGCTGCGCACTTGACCAAAATTATCTCTCTCTCTGCAAGGGTATATCCAACAGGGTAATACCACTATGATAAAGTTCCTTAAGTTCATCTAACAAACTTTTCAACTCTAAAATGTATCATAAAAATTCAAAAATATTCAAATATTGTATGATTTCTAATGTATCTTAAGCATGTCATGTATTAACCTTCACTCACGATCTGAATGGGTCAGTGTACAATGTAAGGCCTTGTTGGGTTAGCTTTTGTACATACGGTAGTTGTGATGTCCATCTGGTGGTCACATGGGGATCAGACTACAGTTTGACTAATTGTCTCTCGACCTGCACTTCGATATCGTATCGTAACTCACCTGTCACCGTAATGTCACCCGTAACGTCACCCGTACCGAGTGTCCTTAGACTTGTCCTTAGCAAGTCGATTTTCTATTTGCCACCTTGCTTCCCGTTCCACACAGGTTCGGGGCGAGCGGAACAAGGACAAGCCGCTCCTGCGCCGCAAGTCGGACCTGCCATCGGACAGTGGGACCGTGAAGGCCCTCATCGAGCACAAGCGACCCGATGAGTACCTGACCACGCCGCCGCCGGATGGAAGCATCTAGGAGCTAGGAGCTAGGATCTAGGATCACAATACACCCAACGCAACAACACTCCAACCTTAGAATGAAAATAAAATGGAAAACCACAGAGCCCCAGGAGCTAAACTGATAAATAGAAAAGAATATATATATTATTATGCATTTGCGGGAGAAGCGGGAGCGTGGCCACGTTACACAACTATTTCTTTATATAAACGCATATAAAATATCCTATTTCTAATGAACAAGCATAGTACGAATAAAGATCTAAAATCCCGATCGAGAACTATAAACTAGACTATATGGAATGCCAACTTTGATTTTATCTTTTGCGTTGTATGCATGTCACTACAGTGAAGCTTAGACCCGAATGATTTCCTTAAGTTATTGTTTGCCTTTGCATGTTGCTGCTACCGCCAGAAGACGAACGCCCCCCCTAATCGATCCGATCTGAATAATTATTGGTGTACCCATTGTGCTCTTACCATTTCAGTGAAAGCGTCTAAATTAAATTGTACAGTTGAATTTGAAATGTCTAACTTAAGGCGTAGGAGACTACCACCTGACCCGCGACTTCTGCCACATACTCCGACATAGCTTGTTACCTATGTACACCATCACCATCACCAGCATACATACACATAAATATATATAAATGTTTAACTACTCCGCAGCTAAAGTTTACAAGTCTTATAGCCCCTAGCAGCTTACCTATAAATATTTATATTAAAAGAGAACCCCCAAAGGACAGATCAATATCTATACGTTAATCTATATACATATATACTATATATGTACATAAAAATATATATGTTTAATGTGGGATCCGTGCCAGCCAAATGTGTGGAGGAGCATCCTTAATGAGAAGAAGTTTCCACAGATATTCTCAACTATAATAGATGACTTAAGGATGCGGTCGCCGGAGCTGATCAAAAGTTCTTCTACCACTACCAAGTGCTGTACAGGCCAAGAAAACGAAAGGCTTCAGTTTAGCTATAGACACAAATATATATTATATAGAGATGTATTTACATATTTTTGGCAAAAAAAAAAAGAATATTATTGTATGGCATGGTAAAAAGGGAAAGTACATAATTCGCAGAAAGGTAGATTTTTTCATACAGGAGACGGTGAAAATCAAACTTTTCAATATAAAAAATATAAAAACTATTTTAAAAAATCTATAAAAAAAATATATATATATATATGTATTAATAAACGTGAATACAATAAATAAATGAGTTATACACCCTTAAAGAAATATATGTGCAAATTGTAAATGGAGCATGTAATTTTGTAAAATTATAAATAAAAGTTTATCATGTCGAGAATAGCCGGACTTTTGCCAAATGCACATAAAGGAAACTTTAAACTTATGCCTGCTGGCAGAGAACCTAGAATCGATGAACATTTACAGAGCCTAAATACAAATTAATTACAGGGACAGAAACTATATCAGGATCCTGGTGGATAGAGACTGGATTTGGCCGCTTATCTTTTTGTTTGAATAATTTACTGGAACTTCTCGGTGAGTCCTCGCGTCTTGATGGCCATCTCCGAAAGGTGTTGTTGCAGCAACCGTTTGTTTACTTTTTCCCTAAAGATCAGAAAATAAATGATTTGCCTTTGAAATATTGTATCCTCCACTTACTTGATTATTAATGATGTGTAGCGTGTCTTTTCCGCATCGCTGATAAGTTCTGTGGGGAAATTAGGAGTTGCCATCACTGTCTTTAGCCAGACTGCCATTTCAGCCGGGTATTTCTTGTTCATGGCCAAGAAGACATCTGCAAACTTGTCCACTTGAGACCGCGGCGTCAAGTATCCCACGCAGGTCATCACCGTGTAGAGGGTCTGTTCACCGGTGGCCAGGATGACCTCGGTGACGTGCGGATGGTTGCGCGAATGCATTATAAAGTGGGTCATAAATTGGATGCTGGTGCGAATGGCTCCACTCTCCGGCAAAGTCATGCACCGTTGAGCGTAGTAGACCAGACGATCATAGGCGATAGTTTTGTCTTCCAAAGTTTGCGGTATCTTCTTTACAATTTGCGACGCACACCCATAGAAGGTCTCCATGGTGTCCGAAATGTTGGAGAAATTCTGCTGTGGAACGTTCTCAAAAACCTTGAAGCTGTGCTGGATGAACTCCCTAAGGAGTTGTTGCATTAGCGGCTTGCAGCTCTCGTCCTTGTAAAACATAACGATGGCCTGGAATTCATATTCGGTTTAATTGTGAGTTTTTAAATGTTTTTAAAAAATAACCCACCGTTTTGGATATCTCCATCGTTGGAGCACAGCATCGTGTCTGGAAGCTTGCCACAATAAAGAGGCATAGATCTTCCAGCATAGGTTGAAAGCTGCCTCTTAGATTCATTATTGCGTGCTTCATGGCACTACAAGCGGCCTACAATGTTTAAATATAGGATTAACATAAATCAAAAGTATTTTAAAAGTTTTACAATCGCTGTACCTCAAGAACATCTATCTCCTCTACCCAAATCTCGGCTATTCGCCTAAAAATGGGCATGGTTCGCTGCATCACAAGAAGAACTGGCTGCACAGTTGCATGCTCCTTAGACTCCTCATCCAAATCCGTGTTTAACGACGAGAACAACGTGGAGATCATATTGAGCCGAAAGATAGTGCGAATCCTGGCCGCGGGAGTTTTCTGCAATTCGACCACAATTGTAATTTTTCTTGACTTCCCTTTCTTGACTTGAAAAACATACTGTATTTGCTTCACAGATGACCTGAAGTTCCTCAAAGCACGGACTAACGATGATGTCCAAATACTTGGGTATTTGATCCGGTGGTAGCAGGCTCATCAGCTTCCCAATGCTGAACATTAATCTGACCGAGTCCGAGTTCTTCATGCGTCCTGTAATGAGCGAAGCATGGCAAGCATTGAGGAGCGGCTCAGCATATGGTTTCAACTGCAGCTGGCAATCCCGGCACAGTTCCTTGAGGCCCAGCGTGGCCTGGGCGGACATTGAGGAGTTTAAGCCGCGCACCAGTAGGTTAATAGCTGGCGGAATAAAGGACGGGTTCTCCATTAACCAGTTGCAGTACGATCCGACCGTTTCGAGAGCGGTTCCCAACAGCTTGACATTCATCTTTTCGTATGGGATCTCGGCCAGAACGCGCATTAGCCTGGGTATTTGTCGCGATTCCTCGCCACCAAAGTGCTCGGCCACGGATTGGAACGAATAGATGCAGGCCTCCAGCTTTGTCCAGTGACTCGGGTGCCGTTGCAATTCAGCCAAAGCCTCGTCCAGCATGGCTGCCAGGATTTCCAGAATGTAATCGTGCAGCACATCATAGCAATACATCTACAAAAATGGAATAAGAAATATATATAACCCTAATAATTGCATAGAACCTAACATTGTGTGTTTCAGACACATAAAATTAGTTTAAAAAAATCCGCTTTACAGTAAGCACTCACAAAGGTATCGGATATATCCTGCCTGTAGCACCTAAAACACTCCAAGTCGTCGGAGTTCCACTTGTCCAACGACCTTTCATCTGGCTGCTCCGATTTGCGCACCAAAATACTTGTGAGATGAGCGTACAGAGGCTTGATATACTCCCAGCACTTGATCTTCTGCTCCTCGTTCTGTATGGCGAAGACCTCGTCCTGAAGCATATACCAAAAGGCCAGGGCCATTGTGCTGCAGGACTCTTCGACCGGGTAAATGCCGGGCTTGTCGGTGCAGTGGAGGATCTCCTGGACGACGCGGTTGACTAGCACTGTGAGCTCCGGATCTGACGATGTGATTCCACTAAGAAGCAGGCTGGAGTGACGTTCTACGGCCGAGACGAAGAGCATGTAAATGTGCACAATAATGTCCTCGTTGTCGTTATCCCTCTTCCATTCCATCTTGGTGATTTCGCTCAGGGAATCGAGGAACATCTTGATTAGTATGAACGACGTCTTTGGGAAATTGTGACAATCCGGTTGGATAATGATGGTCACCATCGTCTTCAGGCAAGCCTCAGCGAGTTCGTTCTCATCAGCAGACATGCAACCGTCACCGGCTCGGATGCAGGGCCAATAGCATTTGTTTACAACCTCCAGGAGCACCGCTGTGATGGTCACACAGCCCTCAATCGAGTAGCCAATGTTTCTAGGGGAGATCAGAAAGGATAAGAGCGGTTTTAAAACAGTTCCTAGTCCAAGAGAATATGATGGTTTGTTACTCACTTAATCCAAGTGCCTACGCACTTGACGGCTCTGATCATGTTGCTATAGGTTTCTGCATCCCAAACCCGGTTCATTTGCTGCTTAAGATACGACTCGTTCGTCTGAAGTATCAATGGAACTCGCTTGCCTAGCTCGGCGCGCAAAGTGACGCGCTTGACGGAGGTATGGATGACCTGGGCCTCCTCTGGAATGGCCTGCAGCACCTCGAGCATGATCCATAGCTGAATGTCCGGCGTGACGTTGGGCATTCGCTGATTCTGGAAAGTCTCGATCACCTCCTCAATGGCCCTGGGCCACTCGTCTAGCATGTGGACAATGTAGGCGCCCAAAGCGATGCACAACCTGTTGAGTACGATCTTGGGACCTCCTGCAAACTGGACGATCGTCTCAAGGATCTTCTGCTTCAGCTCCTCGCGGTTCTCTGGAGGCACTTCATGCCAGTGCTTCATCAGCTTGGAGTGCAGCGTAATTGCGCCGAAGAATTGCACTTCCTGACTCTGCGCGGGAATAAAAAATGTAGAGTGGGGGTGGTTAAAAAGGGGGTGGCAAGAGGTGGTGCGTGGGTGCATGTATATACACAGCGGATTAATTCGGTGCAACGATGCGCAGGTCCTGCGAGGTCCTGGGATGCATAGAGAATGTATTGTACACAACTCACCTTGCCCAGCTGCATAAACTGCCAGGAAAATTGCCAGGCCTGGGGACTGGCCTCCGCCTCCGTAAGCCATCCGTGGGTGACCGCCTGGTCTTGGGCATTGATCCGATAGAAAGCGATGACAGCCTCCTCGAGACGGGCTATGTCTATGGGTTCCATGCTCCTCGCATTGGCTGCTGCCGCTTGGAAGCTTCCTTCCATTAATCCGCTGACGGTGGTGGTAGATTTTTCTTCGCCTGGCTCCTGCTTCTATATGCTACAGTGTGCGCTTACGAGATAGCGGGTTGCCGAGCATCGCGACGTATTACCTATCGCTTAACCGATATTTTTGTAGTTTTTGTAGGAGTTTCAAGTAGCGGATATCATCTTGCGGATACTTTGTCAAATGTTTAATTTCATTTTTTTTTCTTTCTTTTATATTTCTTTGTTGTATTTTAATTTTGTTTGTTGTTTATGTGCGTATTTATAGTAGCCCTGGTTCAACGGTAAGAACTGGTCACTCTAAATCTACGGTGGAGGGTTTTTCAAATCTCAAAAACCGCCTTTTTTGAAAAACCGGTTTATATTGTCCAATTTAAAATATATTCTTACATTATTGCAAATCAATAAAATATTTAATTTATTAGAATAAAAAACAAAACCTAAATTTAGACATTTGACCAAGTCGAAGATTATCTCCTTTACCTTAAATATCAACATACATTATTATTTCTAATTTTCTATAGTCATATAATATTCAAATCCAGAACTGGACTTTATCGATGAAATTTTCAATCTTTTTTTCTTGAATTAAAGGCAATTTCGAATAAAGTAAACAAGTCATGGCAAAGTGAGTACTTAAGTCATGTCAACAGCACCCAATCAACGTGATCAAAAACCGTCAAAGCTAGCAAAAGTTTAACTTAGAATCTCTTATTTACCTTAGTGACAAGAGGTAATGCTGTTCAAAGTAACATTAAAACACTGAAAGAATAGTATGAGGAAAAATTCGAAGCGAATAGTTAGTCTTTAAGCGCTATATTATACCGCTATACTTTTGAGCTTTATATCTTTTTTTCATATTTTATACAACACAATATCATGCTTTAAGTAAAAGATTAAAGATACCTCTCTTTCAATACTGCCTGCAATACATCTCCAAAAATCATTCAATCCCAAAAATGATTTGGCAATTGTTTCAAGTTCATTTCTTACATCCCATTCAAGATCCATCTAAATGCCACTCATATTTTCTTGCGATCGTTGTACTCCCCTGTTCGCACGTCAGCCAGACTCACTCATAGTTAACTTTTGGCCACACACTTGACACCCTGAGTGCTTGGCTCAATTCCAGCCCCAGCTCTTGGCCAGCCTGATACGTAATCATAACTTTGCAGAAAAGCATTTGGCGTTGGTCAATCATGGGCTAGGGTCTATGGGTTGTGGGTGCTCCATCAACGGGGCTATTATTATTGCCTTTTGTATTGTGTATTGTTTTATTGGGTTTTTATGCACTCTGGTCACGTCTTCATCTGTTTGAGACACGTGATTTATGAGCACCCCGTCAGTGGAAGGTATATTTAGGGCTAGTACCAGACCCACTTGACACTGAAGGGGTTTTATTACCCGCCCGCCCGGCAAACGGGGCTCCGGCAAACCGAAAACAGTGACTGTTGAACTTGATTTGTGTTTATGCTCATGCCGCGATTTGTATTTGGTAATTTGTATTATTTGATATTTCTGTCTGGGCTGCCACCGTTTGTTGTCTTTGGCAGCCGAGTGTTAAATCGTCAACATTTGTGTGGGAAATTAGATCGCTGAGCGCGTTACCTTGGCAAGGTCATTTGGCGCGTACTTTGGGGAATGCTTGTCCAAGCGATTAAAATTTATATTGTTATATGTGAGTCACTAGGAGTGGTCTATAGATCACACTCACGGTGACAACAGGCTATTTTTATGATGCAAGTACATTATTTGTTTGTTTTAGCAAATTTTTACACCGAACACTGACATTGGCAACCACTTGGGTTAGCTAATTTGCAACTCAAGTGGGCATCGTATAAACACTGTTTATGGGTCAAGTTGTGCTAATTAGGAGAAGGTTCTTTGGAGAATCGTATAGACTAAGAATCAATGCAAAAATATAGAGTATTAGGTTCATTTTTATCTCTGAAACAACTATCACTTTGTGGGTAAAACCACCCAGGCGATTATCCATTTTTTTGGCTTTGTTTAGCATTTAAAATTTAATTAGCAGGGCACATTATGGCCAGCCATTTGATCTTTAATCAATTATCAGGTCGCGAATTGAATGGACTCCATAACCAGAGGAGTGGGGCGAACTGGCCAATTTTACAGTTGCCGAGTCATGCCGAATGAATATGCATAAAAGCTGTTCAAATACATATCTCCTCAGATCTGGCAAATAAAGCAACTCCACCGAGGCAGTGCAAAGTGCATTCAAGCCGATTTGTTTGCTTTGGGTGTCTGGTCTATAAAAAGAAATACAGCCAAAAAAATGTCTGTACTCAAGGTCAGATTTTTAGCGATTCACCGAAATTGCCAAAAATTAGAGATTGGATGGAAACAAAAATTGATTATGAAAGTATCTGCGAAATCGGGCGAGCTAGAGCCCGAAACATTTTCAGTTGGCTATTAATGAAACGATTTGGACGTGAGTCGTATGCAAATGAGACTGGGTCAAGCAGTTGGAAGAAACCAAGCGGGCCATTTGTAATCTGCTGAATGCCTGCTTAATGATCTCCGGCTCGTGTAAGCCAAACGATCTTGTAAGGCCATCTGCCACAGTCGCATCGTATAGCCGCCCAAATGTGAAGCCCGGAAAAGCGACGCTTGGTGCTTGACATTGAACTTCAACAGAAGTCCAATGACTTGATCCATTATAGTGCAAATAATCGGTTAATAGGAAATAGCGGAAGCACTTCGGTTCACCCACAAACACACTTTGATTCGTTCGCACCTCGGCGCTAATAAGTCGGCGACAAATTGCCGATCATTGACTTGTCCAGTGTGATTCGGATTACAACGATCATGCGTGCTAATCAATATGCATCAAATTCCCCAAAAATAGCCAATAAAATGCTAATGAAAGCGCCCATTCGAGATCAGCGAAAAAATTTGCAAGTTCACCGGATGAACTTGAAAAAGATGGTCCAGTGAGAGAGGCAAACAATTTTGTATCTGGCATCTTGTATCTTTAAGATTCGTGCGAGTCTATTTGCCGTGATCGCTCGAACGTAGCGTGTTGACCGAATAGCCCGGCAGCTACCTGTATTGTTAAATTTGTTGTAGTCTTGTGTATTTTTCAGACTTTTTTATCTCGCATAGGCTTCAACGTTGCAAGCCGGGCGGCGACGTATCATTTTAGCGTCGGACATCAACGGGCGCGCATGCGCATTCGAAAGAAAATTCGGGCAATCGATCTGGAGTATCTGACAAGTGTATTTTGAGTATCTATTATCGTGGCACATTTCTATTCAGAGCAACCGCGCCCACCTCGTAAGTGCATTATTTTGGCATCGATTTGCATTGCCAAAACGTGTTTAGAATTTCACAAGAGGAATTTACACTATTTGTGATCAAGTGATCAGTGAGCGAGTGTGTGGCGTAAACCTACCAACCTAAGCAGCAATCTGGCCATTTCTGAGAACAAGTCGGGCTTGGTAGGCTCAAAAATGCAGTTTCGCAAAAAGTCTAATGCATGGGTTTTATTTATGAAGTAGATTGCACTCTTTTGGAAATTCTGTCGACGGAAAGGTGAACATAATAAATTGAGGTGTTTTTTGCAGTGAATTTTGATTGGAAAAATCTGGCTATTTTACAAAATAAAATTAAATGACTATGATATTGAATTTATTTGTCTTGAATTAAAAAGATGTTAAAGATTTGTGTTACCATTTATTAGATTATGTTAATATTTCTTGAACAACATAAGAAATGTCTATATCTTCTTTAAGAGTTTATGATACAATAATACAACAAATTAAAAATGGAAGACCATTACCAAATTAACCAAACCATTAATTTAGGTTATCATCTTTAATAGCCTGAAGATTTAATAAAAGATATATATCTTTTTTAGGTAACCAAGTTAAAATTTGCTAAGCCTTTTAATGAGCTACTGTTTTAGTCATAGCTTTGGACGTCGACACAGTATAATTTGTGATTTTAGATTTTACAAGCCAAATGTTATACTTATCGAGATCTTCAAGCAGCACGTCTCGGCCAATTAATTACGGCTTAATGGCCCGCATTGATCGCTGAGGTCTTGATAACCAGAACATTAATGAATGCAACGCCCTTCGGAGGGCGGGCCTGAAAGTGAAACCAGCATGACCGGGTTCTGAAAGAGTTGTAACCAATCGACTATATCCAAAGGCAAGGCCAAGGCTAGAACTAAATAAAGACAACTAATCGCGGTGATATCTGTTCGTCATGAAGAGTGTGTTTTAAGCGGCTTTGAATTAGACATGGCCATTGTTTCGATTTAATTTTGAACCTCTTTGCGGCTTTAATGAGGTTAATTGTAATGATTTATTGACATTGGTGCAATTTTATTCGCTCTTCGAAAAATTCCAAATTGAACAAATTTGCATACGCAAGCATTTGGCGCCCACTGCTTTAAGTAATTTAATTTCAACTTTTTTTTATTCGGATATTTTTGGAAGTGTCGTCTTCGGCTTTATGGACATCCGCGTGCGGTTTATGGGTCAACGCTTAAATATTTGCTTGGTCTCCTCGATCGATTTATTTTGTTATTTTTTTGCCTTTATTTTTTGCAATATTTGCTTTGATTCGGTTTCTTCTTCATTTTGGTTTTGTTTTGATCGCAAACCGGTTGGCTAGCATTAACTTTATTGCGCTCCTTTTGCAAAGTCATTATTTTTATTGGCGTTTTCGATTTCTTGTAACCCCAAAACCCGTTGAACTTGAGCTCAAAACGCGATCTGGACGAGATGCACTGGATGTGCGTGTATATCACTCAGAACAAAGTAAGGGAAAGTGAAATTCTCAAGGTTCCATTCCTGCAGTCTATTCTAAATAATTAAAAAAGTTCTGAAAAATATTTCGTTTGTAGATTTTAAAGAAAAATTTATCACCACACTATAAATTGTATAAGGTATTTCGCTCAAGAATCGGATGATTATTTGCAAAGATATTTCCTTCGCAGTGGGCCATAAGTATTGTCCCTCCATGAACTACATTTATAAGGGACATTATAACATCTACATTATAACATTTATAATACATATATTAAAATTTGACAAAAAATCTAAAAAATATTTTGTTTGCGGATTTTTATGCAGATTGGTGGAAAATCGATCTACAAATCGTTTAAGGTATTCTGCTCAAGATTCGGATGATTGCTTGCCAAGATATGGCCTTCGCAGTGGGCCATATTGTCCCTCCACGCACTATCCCTATTTTTGAAGGGGATCCTCCAAAAAATTGGACGAAAAATCTAAAAAATATTTTGTATCTAGATTTTATCGCAGATTGATGAAAAATTCAGCTACAAATCGTTTAAGGTATTCTGCTTCAGAATCGGATGATTATTTTCCAAGATATGACCTTCGCAGTGGGCCATGTTGTCCCTCCACGCACTATCCCTATTTTTGAAGGGGATCCTCCACAAAATTTGACGAAAAATCCAAAAAATATTTTGTATCTAGATTTTAATGCAGATCGATGGGAAATCGATCTACAAATCGTTTAATGTATTCCGATCAAGAATCGGATGATTGTTTGCCAAGATATGGCCTTCGCAGTGGGCCATATTGTTCCTCCACGCACTATCCCTATTTTTGAAGAGGATTTGATGAAAAATCTTAAAAAATATTTTTTGATTTGATGCAGATATAAGAAATTGATATTCCGCTCTGGAATCAAATGAATATTGGCCAATAAATGTTCTTTGCAGCATTAAGAAAACCACACAAATCATTATGATATTTTTTTGGCATAATACTAATGAAATATAACATTTTTATTTTCAGATCCTGTGAAAAATGCGATTTCTAGAGGGAATAGTTCTTTGGTTGTGTTTTCTTCACACCTCTTGGGCCCAATTATTAGTGGACTTGGTTCGTGACTTTGAGACTTCATTGCTGAATACAAGAATTCCGGACACAACCCGCTTTCTGCCGGAATATGATTTTATAATAATTGGAGCCGGCAGCGGAGGATGTGTCCTGGCCAATCGACTAAGTGAGATTTCTTCGGCGAGTGTTCTTTTGTTGGAGGCCGGTGACCAGGAGACCTTCATTAGCGATGTCCCCCTAACGGCGGCTCTCACACAAATGACAAGATACAACTGGGGCTATAAGGCGGATCCCACTCCGAACGCTTGTCAGGGTCTCAAGGGGGGCGTGTGCAACTGGCCCAAGGGGCGAGGTGTGGGCGGCACTAGTCTGATCAATTTTATGCTGTACACCCGCGGTCATAGGCGGGACTACGATGAGTGGGCGGCGAACAATAATACTGGTTGGTCGTACGACGAGGTGTTGCCATACTTCCGGAAATCCGAGAGGGTTGGAATTCCAGAGCTCTACAAGTCGCCCTATCATGGCCGCAATGGACCACTGGATGTCCAATATACAGACTACAGATCGCAGTTACTGAAGGCCTTCCTCAAATCAGGCCGGGATCTGGGCTACGACATTACGGATCCGAATGGAGAGCACTTGATGGGCTTCGCTCGTTCTCAGGCCACCATCCGGAACGGTAGGCGCTGTAGCACCAGTAAGGCATTTATACAGCCGGTGGTACACCGCAAGAATCTTCACATTTCCATGAAGAGTTGGGTCACCAAACTGATCATAGACCCGGTGACAAAAGTAACCACTGGCGTGGAGTTCATTAAGCAGCGGCAACGGTACGTGGTTGGTGTCAGGAAGGAGGTGATTCTCTCCGCTGGAACCATTGCCAGCCCCCAGCTGCTGATGTTGTCTGGAGTCGGCCCGGCTGATCATTTGCGGGATCTTAACATCTCTGTGGTGCAGGATCTTCCAGTTGGGCACAATCTTCAGGATCACATAACACTCAATGGGCTGGTTTTCGTGGTTAACGATTCCACTGTCAATGATGCCCGTTTATTGAATCCCTCGGACATCTTTCGGTATATCTTTGCCGGTCAGGGTCCTTATACGATTCCGGGAGGAGCTGAGGCCTTTGCTTTTGTCCGAACACCCAGCTCTAGTTTTGGTGAGTAAAACTTTGAGCCAACATCATGGAAATTATATCTAACAAATCTCAAATATTTAAATTCAGCCAAGGACTATCCGGACATGGAGCTTGTATTGGGAGCAGGATCCTTGAGCGGAGACCGCTTTGGCACTATGCGAAATCTTTTAGGCATTACGGATGAATTCTATGACACCATGTTTGGGGATTTACAAAATAAGGAGACTTTCGGGCTTGTCCCTGTCCTTCTACGCCCCAAAAGTCGCGGACGCATTTCTCTACGGAGTCGCAATCCCTTCCACTGGCCGCGAATGGAACCCAACTTCATGCAGCACCCTGACGATATAAGGGCTATGATTGAGGGAATTGAAATGGTAAAGAACTACAAGCTGAACATTTTAAAGGTCCCTCTTATTAATAAAGTAACTTTACAGATCCTTCAGCTGGCCAAATCCAAACCAATGGTGAAGATGGGCACTCATTTTCACGCTCGCCCGTTTCCTGGATGCGAACATCTTAAGTTTGGCAGCGAGGAGTACTGGAAGTGCTGTTTACGGCGTTACGGATCCAGTTTGCAGCATCAATCGGGCACCTGTAAGATGGGACCCCCGACGGACCCCTCATCCGTGGTGGATTCCGAACTCAGGGTCCACGGCATTAGCCGTCTACGGGTGGTGGACGCCTCCGTAATGCCGAATGTTCCAGCTGGACATACGAATGCCATTGTGATAATGATTGCCGAAAAGGCCTCAGATATGATCAAGAATGCGTGGCGCATGAAAACGACTCCATTGGGCTCATAAAATAATATATAAGTTTTTAATTTATTTTTGTTAGTCTCGTGTTTAGATAGTAGATTAGGTTTGCATGTGATCGTTACGATAGTTTTAACGTTATTTGGTATTCTGGGGACCTGAGGGACCAGCGTTCAGATATGGAATGTATTCTTTTTAATTTGTGATAGGTGACGAGTGTTCTTTAATAGTAAGATGAAAAGCTTTGTAATAAATATGAATAATTCACAAATTTGTTACTGTTGGTTTCTGAGTAATTTTTAAAAAGCGCGCCAACCATAAGAAACGGTTTAGCTTTTCGTGGCAGTTAGCTTTTGTTGCTGAGCATTTAAGCTTTAAGCTTAAAAATAATTTAAGTTCGACTTAAAAGAGCCATTGTTAACTGCCTCTTCATTCAAATATTCTGACTATTTTAAGCAAAAACATTTGAAATTATGTTTCACTTATGCTAGACACAGAATTAAATATTTACAAATGGAGAAAAAGGTATTCTTATAACTTACCTTTAATATTCTCCAAAAATCTAAATTAAATTAGGCTTCTTTACACGAAAACTGTAACGTCTAATGTACTATTTTTCCAGCGAAAAAAAAACAATGTCACGCACAGGCATATTTTGCTTCGCATGGGACTCGATGGCTTTGCGTGCTTTGTTGAGGATTGTTTTTAATGACCGCCGCCCGCCAGTAATTGCTGTTCGCCCCTCGGAGCGGAGACAAGTCCTGGCCTAGCAACCGTTGCGTTTTAGAGGTTTCTTAACCCAGCAATAAAGTTAACCTACTTTGTCTGGCCAGAGTGCGTATGTAGGGCCTTGGCCACGTGGCGTATGAGCAATAAGTTTAATTAAATACTCACATTGTATATAAGTAGGCATTTTATGCTAAATTTAGCTTGTCGCTAAGATATATATTCTATTTTGAGAAATTTGATTGCTTAGGAAACTCAAGAATAAAGCGATTTATTTGATTTTCCATTTAAATATTTTTTTAATTGTCTTTGTGACCCATAATGAAAAGAAAAGCATTTAAACGAAAATATTTTGCTTTGGCAAACATTTTTAGAAAAGAATTTCAAAGAGATTCCTAGGAAAATGCCCACCTTTTGCTTTTGTATCGACTTGTCTGCAAAGCGTAAACATTTTCAGCCATCCCGGCCTGGAATTATCGAACGTCAATGTGGGCGGATACTTAATGCCAAATTTGCAAAGCCCCCGGAGCTTAGAACGGGCATATTTTGGTGAAATATTCCTGCGGGTAGAATGGGCACGGACTCTTGGTGGCCTGTTCAAATTACGGGGCTGCCAATGACGGTGGTCATGGTTCAACAATGCGACATTTTGGGGCTCAGATTCCAAATTCATGCTGCCTGCCGCAAAACAATCCAATTACGCTCTCGGTTCACTGCAATTTTCGCGCTAATTGCTTTGAAAAATACTGGGGCCAACAATGAAATGGAACCTGAACGATGGCCGGTGTTTGTGTTTACGTTGCTGGGCGGGGAAAGTTTTGGGACATAAAAGTGCAGCATGTAATTTAAATTTCTGTGTTTTGTTTTCCCAGTTTTTTCCCACCTGGTTGTCTTAAAGGGATTTTATGCGAAATGGTTTTTTATCTGTTTGCTTCTCTGGTGAACCAGGGGGGAGTTGAAACGGATGCCACTCAGGGCGAGCGTCTTAAAGATAAGGCCACCAAATGCTCCACTTAAAAGTTGCGGGAGAAAAGCTGTTTCGGAAATGTCTGCTCATCGCATGCAAAGTGGCAGCTCAGTGGCTTGCCCTATCTGCTGCCCTCGGCTGATCTAATTAGGAATCTTATGACGTGAGAAAGCGACTGGCATGCTCCACCGACTGTGCAATCTGGGGCGTGTTTGCAACTTTGCAACATTTTGCATGCCGTGGACTTCTTTATCTGTATTTTCTCCTAGCATGCTTTAGAGGCGACTAGGTAATTCAATTTATTTTATTAAAGTTTCTAGAATCCGTGGTTTAAATTTTAATAAATTATTTTTCAAAAGTGTGCGAAATATCCATGGGGCTACAAACTGTACTAAAAATGTAAGGGTGGTCAGCTAGAACTGAAACACTAGCCGGTCAAGAGCTTAATGAAAGGAAAACAAGTTCAGGTTTAGTAAAACCCAACAAAGAAAATGTTTCTACTAAGGGAAAAAACTTTTTCTTATGAAACAACTAGGGAACAAGAACAAAGGGAAAAGGGCGAGGAAAGTTGTGAACTCTCGAGTGCAAATATGCATGGAAATTGTTCGTGAGAACTTGACTTGCAACTGAAATAAATTCAATAGCTCTTCAGCAGTTTAAGATTCTTTGACTCTTCAAAAATGAAAAGGTGTTTGGAGAATACTATATTTAAAATTAATAAGAGCTCTTTCAATTAGTGTTTGCCCTAAGTGTGTTTTCAAGTAGTATTTGCACTTTATTTAAAGACAAATGACCGTAGAGGGAAAATTTTGTTTCCTTTTGGAATATAATTCAGGCTATTTAGGGAAAATTGGTTCAACATATGTTGGTTCCTGAATTTTTGCGAGTTTACGAGGCAATCCAAGTTAAAGTCATTTGGCAAAGTACACGTCAAGCCGGTAAGTGCACGAAAAATATGGCAGCCTAGGCCAGAAGGGCGTTATAATTTATGATAAGCCAATAAAAATAATTGAAAAGCATTAATGCCACACAGCCTGCGACTGGCAGCGGTTAATGGCCAACTCACATCAGCGAGCAATGAACCCACTGCCACGGTTCAGAAATGTCCTTGTCTGGCTGAAACAAAGGCGAGTCGTCCTGTTGCCGTTCGCCGGCTCCTTCATCGATTTCTCGCTGCCGGAGAATCGAAGTGAAATCGGAGCTGGCACTAACCAGGCTACCGGAATATTCAAGTAATGGCTTGCAATAAAAAAGGAGCCATAAAAAAGCAAAAAACCAGCTGAGAGGCAGGCAGAAGAAAATGGCAGTAGCAGAAGCAGACCAAGTCAAACTTGAAGGAGGCCTCCTTGCATCTCGGGGCTGGGTGAAAGGTTTGAAATAAATAAAATATTAGATGTGGAAACTGGGGTATATCGATTTCAAATGAAATAACTTCAACGTCTTGGTGATCAGAAGTTTTATGTTTTCGGAGCTAAGATGTCCACAAAATATTTATTTAATTAGGAGATGGCTTTTCCGCAAGGAACTATTATGTCTTTTTTTTTAAATTAATTTACCATATTTTTTAGTTAAATAATATTTTTTAGTGTATAAAAAATGTCATTGTTTTATTGAATCTTAGCTGATTGACATTTCAAGATAAACATCTTTCTTGGATATCAAATTTCTTCAAACTCAAACTCCAATATTTTCCATATTTTTAACTAAATGCTTAGTAAAATATAACACCGACCTGCAAAAAAAAAAATTTAATTAAGCCTGATCCAGAACATGACTTTTTGAAAGCATTTAATTAACAAAACATCCTTCTGAAAACTAACTCTAAAAAATATCATGACATTTTTGGCTGCCCCCATCCCTGTTGGAATCGCATCCTAACCCTTTTTGATTGTCAGGATGACAGGTGCCTGACGAGAGGCTAGTGAAATGACAAACAATTTGGCGTCCTGGGTGGCGCTTTGGAACAAGTTTTTGCTCCTGCTGGCCACATCAAAGCTTCAAAAAAAAGTTTGATTGAAAGGCCAAAACCAGCAAGGGATTGTTTGGCTAAAACAAACCTGCAGATTGGGCGTTGGTGGCTTTAAGTTTTCTGCTGCTGTCACTTGGTTTTGCTTGGGAGTTTAAAATTTTTCGGTTGAAAAGGAAAATGGGAGTCCCAAGTATGGCAATTAGCTAATTAAAATCGTGTGCAAAATTGGGAAAAAGCCAAAAAAGGATGCCACACAATTTAATCTTATTTATGGAGGCGAATCCTTTTAGGATGAAACCCATTATGTGCTAAGCTCATGGCTTTCATCTCTTTAACAAAATATAAAATGGGCTTTCAAAATATCACGTTTAAGCTGTGCTGGCAAATTGCGGCATCGGAGCCAAGGCCATAAATCAAAACCCATACATTTTGTTATCCCTCGTGAATATTGCTTTATTTTATTGTTGAGTTTTAACTGAGCTAATGCAGCGATTCCCAGGAGTACTTTTCGTTTCGGGGGTTTTCCACGCTCTTCAGGGGGGAACTTTCCGCAAAATCTCCCAAGCATCTCCCAGGCACACACGCTTGTTTATTTTCGGAGCTTTTAATGGCAAAATTTATTAACTCCGTAAAAAATGTGAATCCGAGATACCTTTTGAATTATTTATGGGCGGCAGTGGGTGTGCAATAAATGCCGAAAACCCATTGGGAACATAATAATAATAATCATATGATTTGCTTGAGGAACTGGTGTGTGATTAACACACATCGGGCCGCACTCGTTTGGGCCAATTAGCGGACCATTGTCGGAGTTAATAGTCGGACGTGTAACCATCAAGCGGAAAATTGGTCAATATCACTGCCCGGCTCTGAAGCAATCAGCAAATTTGTTGGCCACTGGGATTTCTGACGCTGGTGTGGACTTAATGCAATATAAATGGTAATTTCCTGTTTTAATTCATTCCGGGTGTCCATATTCGCAATTTGGACAGTTGCCATTTTGGCCCAGGACCCCCGGCGGTGCTGTTCCAAATAATTTATGTCTAATTCATGGCCTGATTTGTAAGTGTTAAGGCCACAGCCTGTTGCTGACTGACAGCTCCTACCAGTGGAGGCGGCCATAATTCAATCACATCAAACCCATCAAAACTCGGAGTAATTCATTTGTGGGGATTCTTTTATCCTGCATGTGGTAGAGTTTGTTTTGGGACTTCTGGCTCCGAAGGAAGCCTCTTATTGAAAGAAAATGAAATGAAATTTCAATTATTTCGTATCGAGTTTTCGGCTGCCTAATTTTGATTAATTATTCAACTTGGGATAAAGTTTGGGTTTAAAAAACATTTAAAGCCTTCCATTGTGAGAACCTTTTGCTTCCCAAGAGTTCCACCTGCTGATATGGGAGACCAGAGCAAATATTTGCCTGCCGTATTTTAAATTAGGGATTT